CAACCCAAGCTGTGGAGAGGTGTTACAGCCCTCACCCACCGTCCTGCCACCGTCATGGTGCCCTGCCTAGAACTTTAAAACAAAAGTGAGATCTGGTACCAGGATCACCAGTGAAAAATGTATGAATCCTCTTACGATTCACACTTTAGGTCTGGAACTCATGATGGAATAAAGTAATGTTTATTTCAAGTGAATGGACCAAAAAAGAGAATTTATGTGTAGACACAATCATTTTCCTGGATTCCAGGGGGAAGAACGCCAGATTTCTTTTCTACTTTTTTTTTTCTTTCCATTTTTGCCAGGGTGAATCAAACCCTGGTCAAAATCTTCCAAGGGAAGGACCCAAGGACCCAAGCTGATGCAAGAATTCAGCTTCTAGAATGCTCCAAACACCACTCTGGGGGATGTGACCTGCAGGAATTACATCCTACAATAAACCACCCAGGAAACAATGGCTGTCACCGCCCTACTTTGGGCGTAGGTCCTGAGCAAGGGAAGAACATTCTAGAATGTGGCAGGGAAGGCACAAACACACGTCATCGCCCCATATTCAAAAGGCACCCAACCTCGCATCTCCCTCTGCATTCGAGTGACTACTACACAACGTCATCCTGACTGTCTGTCCATGGAGCCGACCGAGCCATTTGGAAAGCCTCCTTCAACCTCAAACCAGCCTCGCGTCTTTGGCCGTCGGCTAATTCAACCACTCCCGGGGCATTACTGGGCTTCTGCCCCTGGGTCTTCCCTTTGATTCTACTCTAAATCCTAACCTTGCCAGGCATCTCTCTTAGGGTACCATCTGGTTTTCTGGCCTCAAATCTCTCTTCTCCATCTCTGGCCTCTCCCTGTCTCCTCTGCTCCAGCCCAGCAAGCCTCCTTCCCTGCCAGCCATCTACACTCAAAGGGGAAGGGGCTTCTGACTTTATCCACAGTCTCTCTTGGGGCTGCAACCAGCCAGCCTGCAGTCCTCACCCTTCCTCTCCAGGCCTGTGCACTCACTGATAGCATGCGGCAGCTGGAGGACCCCTGCCCAATCTTAGGACAGGGAAACCCACACAAGCAAAGGGAGAGCAAGGCAGTAATGGGTAAAAAGCCACGCCCGAAGGAAGAAAGCAACGTACGGGTTATTGAATAAAGGAGGAAAAGAACTAAGCTTTTCGTTCCTTTACTCAGTCCTGTTAGACGCCCGTCCTGACATCATTTCTACACGAGACACTTTTAATCACCCCTGGTCAACAGCTGTCAGAAGAGCTCTCGACCCATTTTCCACTTCTCTAGGGCACCTGCCATGGGTGACTGAGTAAATTTGGGGGTTGCCTTAGGAGGTCACTGAGTGCATCCTCCGTTTTAGCAGTTTCATACACAACCACTTCAGAGAGGCAAGATTTCTCTCATTTTTAAAGAGACCACTTCAGAAGAACGAGCTAGCATCTCATTAAGTAGACTGTCCTGATGACTAAATCCCTCATGGCCAGGAAGTCCTCTCCTGTGTCTATCTTACATTCTTCACGTTGCACTTCAGACCCTTGCGTCCTCTTATTCAGACCCAGAAGAAAATGGAGCCAGATGAGAGCCAGAGCCTTGGCCTGGCCTTACTCCTCTGACCACCTTTCCACACAGTCTTCCAGGACTTCCCTCTCAAGACTGCGGGAAGGCTTGAGGTGCAAAATCATTACTCTTCTCATGCTGGGAATGACCTGCCACCAGTGAGATGCTACCTCCCCATCTTAGGGGGCTGGTTTCTACCTTTCCCAACAACTTGCTCATTACTCAGGTCTGTTCTCCTGGTTGGGATTAGATTTGTCTAAAACTGGTAAGGAGGGCTCAGAGCTTTTCAAAAGCATCACTTGGCTCCTTCTAAAACAGACACCCAGTGATCTATTATCACCTAAGACTTTCCCATCTTTTCCCATCTTTTGGCCTCTCGCCATTTCTCCTTGACATTTCCACCGGAGGAGCCAGGACCCTTGACTGGACCTTGGGTCTGGGGGTAGCCAGCACCTCAATCTCTCTCTTGGTCTTGCCCTCTCCTAACTGATCCCTCCCCCGTCTTCTTGGCTATCTTTTCAGTTTGCTTGATCTCTGGATCACATTTTTTTAATTAGTAAATTCCTCTTCTATTCCTGGTGCTGCAAATCTTATCCACTGTCTTTCCCTTCTCTCAGGGGAAGCTACAACAGGCTCCTTTACTCTGCCCATAAACCTTTAAAAGATCTTTTTCTGCCTTTTACTGTCTGTTTTACTTTTTGACTTTGTTATTCTGTCTTCAGCAAAGCGAGTTTGCATGTTTTCAGTCACCCCTGGAGACCATTCTGTGAGTTGGGTTCCGATGCTGCCGCCAGTTTGAAATGAGGGCAACAAGGCTCAGAGGTCTGCCTGGGAGGGGCCCAGGCTCCACCCTTGCCCTCCCAGGTGCACCTTCTCCTGGGCCAGCCTCCGCCCTCCTCACCATCCTCCCCGGTGCCTTCTCCCTGGCTCTTCCTTTTTATGCTGTGCTGCTCCGGCTTCTGTGAAGGGAGGGGCCGCCCCAAGCAGGGCGGGGCTCCTGCTTCCTGTTGTCTGTCCCCTGACCCTCCTTCCTTTGCTTTCTTCCCAGGGAGCTGAGGAAACGTGCCTTTGAGTGCCTTTCCTTTTCCTTCTGGCTTCGAATTCCCCATCTTTTAAAGCGGTCTCCTAACGCTATTGACATACTTCATTTGTTCAGTGCTACCTAAGATGCATCACTTTAATAAACAACCTACCACCGCCTACTCAAGCCAGCTGGTTTCCTTCAAAAGCCATAAGGGATGGTTTCTAAAGCTCACTGGCCGAGCGTGAACAGCAGTCAATTTCCTTGATGCTTCTCTCTACCCCTTGGTCTTCTGGGATTCTCTCCCACTCACCTGTCTCCTTAAACCTGCCCGCTGTCTCCTCCTGTAGTCTGTGCTTCTGTCCTTTCTAGTTTCCTGGCAGTGACCCATCACTCCTCTGTCCCTGGCCCCCACTTCCAACCACCTTCCCTGCCTGTCCACACGGCAGCCGCTGTTTACAAACCAAGGAAAGAGGATGCTTGGGCGTTTGAAGTTTTACAACTCTGAAATTCAGTCTTTAGAAACCTTACGCTGAAAGGAGAAGTGGGTGAGCATCGTGTCGCACGGCGAGCAAGCACTGGAGAGAGCCTGCGGGAGATCACACCCCCCCAGCTGTACCAGCCACACCTGCACGGGCTCTGTCAGGACCCAGCCCGAAGTTCACCACCAGAACGCAGCCTTGGAACCAGGGGCTTGATGACCTCTTACCAAGGCAGATCACCCACAACCTGAAGTTCTTAAGGGGTGGTATATTTAGACCGTGAAGGCATTTATAACAAAGGCTTGTTTACCTACACCAAGTGGACTCTTCTCCTCTCTCCAGGAACCGGCCCGACTTTCAGTTCTCTACAGGTTGACCAAGGTGACTATGGCTGTCAGCCTGCACAGCAGCTGCAGGGATTTCGGTGCGGGGGCGGAGGGGGGCGGCTCCCCAGTTTCTCCATAATGACCCCGGAGTCCTAACTCTGATGTCTGGGTTCTCGGTTCATTTAAATGGTTAGTGGGTACGTATCCACATAATTTCTTCTGGCTTTTGGTCCCTGAGCCTTTGCAAATTTTTATCATGTATACACACCCTCATTGTCCTAATGTTTTTATTTAAATTTGATCTTTTAATTTATGTAAATGTGCCTTGAAAGGAAACTCTGCAGCAGTACAGGGTGTATGACAAACCAGTATCTCTTGTAATAAACAGAAGACAATCTTAAACATAAGTGCATCAATTACAATAAAGCATGCTCTTTTGTGTCTCAGCTTTGGGAAACCCTGAAAGGATGTGTGTGGAACAAAAGGCAAGATCCACAGACCTTCTTCTCTCCCCCTACTCACCCACATATACATTTTCTAACAGGGAAAAGGAATTCAGAAATGTACATGTTTTCTTGGTTCATCTACGTCAAAGGGCTTTAGCCACTATCTTTGTCTGTTTGTACAGCTAATTGTATAGCTAAATTAAGACAGAAGAACCATAATACCCAGAGTCTATTTGGTTTCCAAGACACATGAAAACATACAAAATCTGTTTCTTAGTTATCACATTAGGATGTCCTACAGGAAAATAACTGGCGATTTTCAGAACCCCGAGAGCTTCACACACGTGCCCTCCTTGGCTGTGGCTCTTATGAGCTGATCCACATGAGATCTGTCCTACCTGTCCTACCTCATTTCCACCTGTGTACCCTTCATGATACTCTTTTGTGCAGATAAGTGGCTCTCAACATCACAGTTTTATCTTTATAAAAAGAAAAAAGATAGGTATTCCAAGGAACTGTTGACTCGTTAGCTGATGAGAATAGGGTATAATGGAGTGAAAACCAGTCTTTGAGTCAGAAATTGAGTCTCCTTCTGACTCTGCTATGTGACCTTGGCTAATTCACTGAATTTCTCTGGGCCTCTGTTTTCTTAAAGAGGGTGGACTGAGATTTCTCACCATGAACTGTAGCCTGGGTAGGCAGATACTTCCATACACATTCTTTTATGGAGAAGGCGTGTAAATGTCCGCTAGTCAAGATTATCTAGATTTTTTTTTAACATTAAAATTTTTCTACTTGTCAAATTTTCTACTTTCCGTTAAACTGGACATTCAAGAAACAGAGATGTGAAGGGTAACTTAAAATGGCCAGATGCAGCTCCTTCTAAACCAAAGCTATGAAAATGAACAGCCCTATTGCCATTACACATAAAATGGATAATTTTCCCTGTCTACAATCCATAAACTTGGATGTTGCTGCAGTGCGCTGAGGACACGAGGCCAGTGATGTGCCTGCTTTGGGGGATGCTCCGCAGCTTGGCCACGCTGCTTCCCACATAGGGCTCAAGACCACACTGAGCTGGGTCTCCCGTCCTGCAGGTGAGGTGAAATGACTGTAAAGAGACAAAGGTCCAGGAGGACTAGAGCACGTGACAGTCTGTGGACAGGAGGCCACTTACCCAGTCCTCTGTCACCCTTGGAGCTCTGCTGGCCTCCAGACGTGGTGGAAAGGTCTTCAGGGACAGGCATGGGTTCATCGCCATCGTCGGGGGTGTCACTCACCGGGGGGCTTTCCTTCCCTGAGGAGGCAATTAGGAGCTTGAGTTTCTGGGGACATGGTCACCCCTGGGGTGGTGGTCACTGCGATGGGCCTCACCGTGGTTTGGCTTCATTCGAGTTACTGGATTGAGTTCACGTTTCTCTCTGGGGATTAGAACCTGCTTTCCTTTTTATAAAATAATATCATTGCCACACCCAAAACTGAGAGGACACAGATGTGAAAACTACATATCACCTAGAGATCACCACTATTAAAACTGTGGTGTGTGTGTGTACACATACATGGATACTTATATATTATGGATAATGCGTGGTGACATATTTTCTTGATCAAAATAAACTGTACTTTTTAGACATTCTCATAACCAGTGGCCCTACTTCCATAACTTTGTGGTGTCTGTGTAATACTTCATTGCATGGGCACACTAGGATTTATTTAAATCCTTTTTCTAATTTTGAACTTACATTGTTTTCAATCTTTTTTTTTTTTAATGAAACAACACTGTGGTAAACCTCCAAACAGACAGCTTCTGCCCACGTTTTTAAGAATCACCATAGTATAAACCCCGGGAGTTTTATGCCTGGGTCAAAAGGCATCCACATTTTTAAGCCTCTTCACGTGTTAGGGCCAAATTTTCCCCTGTAAATTTGTTCCACTTTACCCTCCTACAAGCCTGCTCACCACACCCTCATATTATTTCATTTTTAAGGTCACCAGATTGAGTGTCCTGCTCAGAGCTACACATTCTGGGTCTGTTCACTCTCTTTTTCCAGAGCCAGGGGGTAGGTATTTTGCCAGCTGCCCGATTTGATTAACTTGATGGGGCCGGGAAGCCTGGAAGGAGGATGAACAGGGAATCAACACGATTCTGCCCCACGTGCACAGAGAGTCTGCCACCAGGAATTTTTATCCTCAAAATATGAAAGCAAAACAGAATCCACACAACTGTAAAAGCTGCTTCACAAAGTAGGATTTACCAAATGAGATAGGGTTTTATGGGATGCCCGACTCTGTTTTTGACTATATTATAAGGTTTCATCGGAAGCTCCAGAAATGGGGAAATCCCTCCCACTCCCAAGAATTCAATACGGGGAAGTCTAGATGTGTAGAAAATGCTCCTTCTCCTTTGAAATGGAAACCCCTGTACCTTCTAACATAGATGTTACCTAAAATTGAGTTAGGAGACAATAAGCCCAGGCAAGGAAAGAGCTGGTGAGGCCCCCAGTGGATGCAGAATAGCCCATGAGCACTGCTGTGGAAGACAAGCCTGGAAGACAGGGCGAGGCAGAGTGCGAAATTGTCTTGTTTGTTTGAATAAACCACCTGTGAAAAGCAACACAACCCTTTAGGGGAAGGGCAGGACCAGTGCAAGCATCCCCGGCATAGGAGACGACCCTTCCAGGAATAATTTAAAATAGAAGCTGCAAGGCACCAAGGCGATGCTTTGGGGAATAGTATCGCATTCTCTAGCAAACAGACATCACAGGGCTTCCCTGGTGGAGCAGTGGTTGAGAGTCTGACTGCCGATGCAGCGGACGCGGGTTCACGCCCCGGTCCGGGAAGATCCCGCATGTCGCAGAGCAGCTGGGCCCATGAGCCGTAGCCACTGAGCCTGCGCGTCTGGAGCCTGTGCTCCGCAGCGGGAGAGGCCACAGCGATGAGAGGCCCGCGTACCAAAAAAACAAAAAACAACAACAACAAAAAAAACCAGACATCACAGTTTAATATTCCAGCTTAGCTGTAATTACCTCAATTGGCATATTTTCAGAAAGAGCATTAATGGGTATATTTGGATAGCCAATACAAGATGGATAGTTAAAGGTGGGGCAGGCTGATAAGAATTTCGCAAGGAAAAGCCAAAGGCCAGAGAGAAATTGATTGAAGTGCTCGTGTTGCACTAAATGTGCATTACATCAGTAATATTTTCATCGCCCTAAAAGGAAGACTTTAAAAGTAGCAACAGCTAAAGATGCAGTGTTACTGTTCACCTGTACAGGTGGGCCAAAGCTCTGAACAGGAGCCTGCGGGAGGCATATGACCAACTGACAACTCTTTTTTCCTTCTGATTTCCTAGAGCTATGGTCTTCAAACCTTGAGGACTTCAGGGAGGTGGTCAGAGGACTCTTTTTCAATTTTTGGGGGGGTAAGAATAATATATTTTTTAAATTATTGAAGTAAAGTTGATTTACAATATTGTGTTAGTTTCAGGTATACAGCAAAGTGATTCAGTTATACGTATATACGCACACACACACACACACACATTCTTTCACAGAGTCTTTTCCATTATAGGTTATTACAATATATTGAATACAGTTCCCTGTGCTATATAGTAGGACCCCCTGTTGTTCGTCTATTTTATGTATAGTAGCGTGTATCTGTTAATTCCAAACTTCTACTTTATCTCTCCCCGCCTTTCTCCTTTGATAACCGTAAGTTTGTTTTCTACGTCTGTGAGTCTGTTTCTGTTTCGTAGGTACGTTGATTTGCGTCATATCTTAGATCCCGCATATAAGTGATATCATACGATATTTGTCTTTCTCTGTCTGACTCACTTCACTTCGGGTGAAAATCTCTAGTTCTTACACAGAACTTCAATATACGAAACCCGTCTTCTGTGCCCATCTTCAGCCTCTGGCTGAAGGACCAGAGGCCCAGGCCACTTGCTTCTGCGAAGACCCCCAGGGAGCCTCCACAGAACGGACCATGGGAACTCTGGCCCAACAAACTGACCGGATCATTAAAGGTACAGAGTGTGGGGTGTGCACGTTCGCCTTTCTGATTAACCAGCTGTCATGGTTATGGGCTGGGAGCGGGACACTGAGAAACTAGACTGTATTCATGTTTTGTGTTGTTTTTTATTCTGAGCTTCCTGATGATAACACTGGAGAACTCTGGGATCAATTTAGATGCCTGGGCACGAGGAAACCAAGGGAGCATCATAAAGAATCGGGATTTATCCGGTGCAGGGATGTGGTCTCTCTCCTCCATTCACGTGAAAAATGCATCCACATAATCTTTTTTCAAATTTCGCTGATTCGTTTCTTGGGAACAGGACCAACTAGAACTTGCTGAGATCCTAGGCACGCTTCCGCCTGGCTGGGCTCCTGTGCCGAGCTACAGCCCAGCAGTCCTGCAGCATCTCAGCGCTTTCATTGCTTCCTACACGGGGGAGGAAAAGGAATAATGGAAACAGTAGGGACCATGATTCTAAATACCCTGGGTCGGGTCGATCCATAGGCGCTCCCCATGCAGAAGCAGCGAGAATAAAACATGAGTCTCGGCGTGTGCAGGGGCATCTGGTAAAAAGTCAGTACTGGAAGAGAGCGAGGTGAGACAGCCGCGTACCTGTCACGAGCCCTGCTGGAATTGAGCCTCACCTCGCCTGCACTCTGTGGTGGTTTTTAAGAGCTCATCTGATTTGCCTAAAAGCCCCCAAGTTTGAGCAGTGGCTACTGAGGCATTAATCACTGGCTTGAGCCTTGGTACTCAGCGACCCTGGGATCCTTCCCCTGCTGGAGATTTCCACGATGAACCTCCACCACTTCATCATAACCTTCATGGGGAGCAAACATATTTTTATGTGTTGATTTTAAACCAATTTACCCAGTTAACCGCTTAAAATACAACACCGGGTATAAAATACAACACCATGATAAAAGATAAGAAAATGAAGTTATTAAATCAGGCCAGCACATAGCAGACATTAACACACTGTGACTAGAAGTTAGTTGACACGGGTACAGCTCAGATTTGACCAATTGTAAGACAGATTCCATAATAAGTCACCTCTTTAAGGCTCTTTCCTCAAGAGTAAAATGAGGCTAAAAAACATGATTTTGGCTTAGCTCACAGGTTGTTGTGAGGATAAAATAATAAAGTGCATGGATGCTCATATGCTAAATAAGCTTATGGTATTATTTTGTAAATATAACACCCTATAGAAAGAGGTATGCACAGCACCAAGTGCCCATATGTCCCCCAAGTGCATGTACAATGTCACACAGACACGCAGAACTGCAGACAGTGAGAAATCAAGTATTGAAATGGAAGAATTTAGGAGGTGAGAGGTCATTTTACTTATTTAGAAAAATGGAAGAAACTTCTTATCAATTTCTATGTAAGTTACCTACTACCCATGTTTCAAATAAAGCTTTACCTATGAGAAGCATTTTGGGCAAATTAGATGAGAAAATTGTATAATTAGCTTATCAACAGCAAGCAAATATTCCTCAAGTAGATTATAATTCACCCAACAAAGTTCTGTGATTCCCTTTCTCCCTAGTGGATGAGTTTTTACTATGCACAGTTACCCAGGAGAACATAATTCCTCGGTGTAAATAACAACTCAGAAAATAGACTCTACAGAATAGTGGGGAAGCTCCTACTCAGTGCCATGTCTGGCTCCCGTGGGACTTCTGATTGGTTATTGAAACTGAGTCTCAGCTCCCTGTGAATTGAAGACAGTCCCTGCATCTTCTTCATGGGGGTCTTGTAAAGTTGAAAGGAGAAAAATGCCGAGGGTGGTGTTTGGTAAATCTCAAGCACTCAATCAATGTGATTTACTCTGATTAACATTTGCACTGACACTTCAACATAGATGAGCCTCATTTCCCAGGCAGGCGATGGATGTCTACAGAGCATAGTTCTTGTTTCCTTGTTCCAATGAACATTACAAACAACCACTAAGAAAACATCCCATAGGGCCCCAGGAGCCTGAGCATCCTCTAAGCTCAACTGGCTCCAGTCCCCCATTTTGCAGAGGACACACAGTGGTCCAGGAGGCATGGAGAACGGTTTCAGGTCTCAGAGCTGGAGGCACAGATGAGGTGCTGATATGGGCCTCACAATTCCTGTCTTCCCACAGGCTGCCTCTCCCCTTAGAACCCAAAACAAACCATAAACCACACGCATAACCAATAATTTGGAAAGTGTGCCAAAGAAAAAAGAGACAGAGAAAGCAATAGAAAACTTACCCAAAGAATGAAGGAGATGTGCCCTAAAGGAAAGGATGGCTTTGCTTTAGACATACTCTCCTCCAAGCCTATTCAACAGCATTTCCCGACTCTGGTGGATGCAAGTGGGTAAATATTTATTGAGTGTCTACTATATGCAAGACCCTGTAAACCAGGGCTCAGTCCACATTTAGGATAAATCCCAGGGAAGAAAGAAACAGGTAGTTTGAAAAAAAAGTTAGGTATTAAGTACTTCTCTATTTTTCAAGGGAGTAGCGCACATAGATTAGGTGGACCCCTATGCAACTGCTGATGTTGGAACTTTTTTTACCTATGATAGTGGCAATTTCGTAGGGTTCAACTTAGAAAAAAATCTATTTTTCTTTTTTGGGAGCAGCATATAACAAGGAATAGTTTTGTGGGGAAAGGGGATGATTCAGAACATATCCCTCATATAAATCAAAAATTTAACTTCTGTTTGGCTAAATGTACATCCTTATTCTACAACTTGCTGCCACCTTCCTCCATTTTAGAAATCAAAAAGGAAAAGTGATCATTACAAGGATTGTATTGGAGAAGCAGCAAGAAGTAGAAAAAGTGTGCTTCAAACCTCTGGTAAAAATGGCACAATTTGGGCTTCCCCGGTGGAACAGTGCTTAAGAATCTGCCTGCCAACGAAGGGGACACGGGTTCGAGTCCTGGTCGTGGAAGATCCCACATGCCGCGGAGCAACTGAGACCGTGCGCCACAACTACTGAGCCTGCACTCTAGAGCCCGCGAGCCACAACCACTGAAGCCCGCGCGCCTAGAGCCCGTGCTCCGCAACAAGAGAAGCCACCGCAGTGAGAAGTCCGCGCACCGCAATGAAGAGTAGCCCCCTGTCGCCGCAACTAGAGAAAGCCCACGTGCAGCAATGAAGACCCAACGCAGCCAAAAACTAAATAAATAAAATTTAAAAAATATTTTTAAAAAGGGCACAACTCTTTAAATGCTCTAATCTCTGTTTAGAACGCTCCAAGCTTAACACAATCCAAAGGACTATTTGTGTAAAGTACTACAAGTAGCATTTCCTTTGCTAGGAGTATACAAAAGTAAATTTCAGACCAAATCTTGAATCTTTTTTAAACCAAAGAAGAGTTGGCTTTTTCAGGCCAACCTCACTCTTGACTCCACCCCCTGCCAACCTTCTCTTTAGCCACTTCCAAACAAATTGAGTGTTTAGCATAATGTTAAGGGCAAGAAAAGTAGGAGAAGAAAATGAGGGTTTTGTTATGTTTGTTGCCAAATGAGGGGATCAGAATATTGACTGGCCATTCTCCTACAAAACTTTCTAGAGATGCCAGCCCAGGCTCAGGCTTTCGGCTTTGCCTTTGGGACAGCAGAGTCTGCATGGACCCAAGGGCTCTCCTCCTCAATGCATCATGTAAGACGCCAATCTGGAAGCCACCCAAGATGAAGGTGACAAGGGAACACAGAGGATCAGAAACCACGAAGGGGTCTCTTTGCACCTTTGTGGTGTTTAACATCCCGTGTTCCTGGCCCTCTCATCACCTCTAGCCATGGTCTGCAATTCCAGGGAATGGGGCTCACCTCTCCTTCAGCTCAGACTGCCTCTACCAGCAGCTATCAGATCCTGGCCAAGCCGAAGGAGAGGCTCCAGAGAGCGACCATTTTTGTTTTTTTAAATAGTTTTATTGTTGTTGCTGTTCTACTTACATTTAAGAAACAAAGTGTGTGTTTAAGGGAAATAAATCCAAATAATGCTGAAAGGTAGAAGATGAGAAACCAAAGTCTCCGTCCCCTTCTTCTCTAACCCATCCCCTCCTTCCAACCTCAGTCTTCCAAGAGGAAGCGCATGTTTCATAAGTATCACTCCAGAATTTTCCTAAACGTATATACAGGCATGTGGAAAGTGTGTGTGTGTGTGTGTGTGTGTGTGCGTGTCTGTGTGTGATATGTTTTCATTTCAAAGGATGGGATCATACTCTGCATATCATCCTGAAACACGCTTTTCTCACCTTCACATACATCTTGGATGTCTTTCCACATGACTATGTTCCGATGGCCCTCACTGTTCAGAGCTGAACGAACAAGGGCATGGAGGGACCAAAGTTTTCCGGTATCAGCACCAACGCTGCAGCGAGCATCGGCAGAAACGCCCTGTGCCTGTGTGCGAGCATGTCTCCTGGGCTGATTCCTCCAACACAACTTTCGTTTCTACAGATAAGGCCAAACGTGTTGACCAATGTTCACGTCCTCCAACTGTCCATCAACTGCCTACATGCCACAGCTGAAAAGCCAGGAGTCTGCTGGTACTTCACAGCCTGGAGAGTTCAACCCAGACTTTCTAAATGACAGGAGTGGCAGGGACAGAGCATGGGGGACCGTGGGCTGCAGGAGGCCGTCTCCAGGTTGAGGGGACTTGAATCTCCCCTCCTGCCCATCTCCCGGGAGTGGCAGCCACACGCTCAGCCCTGATCTCCATCACCAGGACGGACCGAGGCCCAGACGCAGAATTCAGTCACAACTTGGAAACCAGTGGGGGCAGGTTGGCCGTGCCCAGAGGACCACATGGGCCATTCTAGCAGAGAGGCTTACCTGGGATTGACCATGGGCCTGAGACTGGAGAATATAAAATACTGAAAACCCGACTGCTGCGGACCCATCCAGGTTCAGGACTAGCCAGACAGTGGGCTTCCTGGGCCCGTGAATATGGAGCTGGGCAGGCTTGGCTAGACCGGCTGGGGGTCCAGCGCACGGGCATCGCCCAGCAGGACAGCGTGATCCAACCTTGGGCCTCATCTCCCAGGACTGCCCCAGGCCCTGGGTCTCCCGGGATGGGGGGAGCTATGTCCAATAGGGCTTGAAATAAACCTATGGAGACTGGGGCAGCGTTGTTGCCACGTTTAGCAAATATCCTGAATTGTGCCCCAAACTCTGTTTTCCAATCTACTTTCTCCTTGTCTCCCTTCCGCCTCCTCCCTCCATCCTTCTCTCTCTCTTTCAAGCACTTTCACTGGCCTGTGTTTGGACTCTAGGGCAGATCACCCGTCCTTTCTGCTCCCCCAGAGTATCAACATAGATTGAATCCTTTCCAAGTTGCTCGCAGATGTAACAGGAAAACCAGTTTTATCTGGGAGGGAGATTTTTCTGTCCTGGTTGCCACATTGGGATAATCTCCAAGAGCTGAAGTGAAACATGGATACCAATTCCATCTCGGCCTTTCCTTTGGCAGGACAGCCCTCTACCTCCCCCGCCCCCCCCAGCAAGCACCTTGGCTTTGGGTGCCCACTGGAGTGGGCTTCCTGGACTCCCCATATGGGCATCTCACCAGCTCTCACCTGAAACTTGGGACATGTCTTGACCCTCATCAGCATCCATGGTCCTCGGGTTATCTGAGAAAGAGAGGAAGGGATTTTAGTTGAAAGCAAATTACTCATAAGATACGAGAGAGAGAAAGAGAGATAAGGGCTGAGCTCTTTAACAACGAGGCTATCTACCAAGAATAATGCATTTTCCTCCTCACACACTCGCTGGAGTATCAGACTGGCACAGACCTTGATCCTTTTAAAAACAGCATTACAAAGATTTATAAAAATATCATTACAAGGACAGGAGGACCAAATTTGTTATTTATTGTTAATTTCCTGCTGCATAATAACCCAAAATGCAAACTGACTGCAACAAAATTAAGCAGAAAATTAAATGGCCCTGGGTCATTGTAGGCACAGAATTCATTCTCTGGGCTGATCCACAGTTACGTTCTTTCTAATTTACTGAGCATGCATCGATGAACCTTGAGTCAGCTTGGTGACACGCGTACAATCAGCAATCAAAAAACGAAGCAATTTGCTGAAGAATGTCTCATTTACCCAGGCAGGGCTGCGTATATGAGCAGCCACCGTGCTCCGTCCATCAATAATAAATACACCTCCAGCCTGGCAGATGGGCCTCGCGCCGCTGGCTTTGTACCCCGCTCTTTCAGGGCCCCTGCCTGAGACTCTGCCAGGCTCTGACGCGGGGAGAAGGAAACCTCACGACGGCTGCCAAACCGGACCCGGAGAGCGCCCAGACCTTCCTGTTCTGCTGACACGTGGCTGGCTCCTCAGGCGGGTGGAAAGAGAGAAAGCGAGCCTGGAGGAGCTGCCCTTGGGTGGCGATGGGGACCGTTCTGCTCGCGGCCACCACAAACACCGGGGAGAGGCCACGTCAGCCGAGCAGGAGGGAGGGATGGCTGCGTTCTACACTCAGGGTCCTGGCCTGCACCTCACAGGTCTCAGGTAGCCCTGGTAGGTGACATCTGGAGGCTCCGTGGATAGGAAAGCTGGGGACCACCAGCAGATGACCTCCACCAAGTCTGCGTGTTTATGCTCTGCTGGACAACCTTCAGAAGAGCGCCTTCTCCAACCAGCCAACGGAGCCTGTTTTGACTCGAAATCAGCTCACTTCCTTCTGGGGGACCACCTCTGTCTCTCCCGTTCAGATGTGTGTGTCTGCGCTTTCAGGCCTGTTCTCAGCAGATGCCTGCACAGTGATGGAAGGTTCAGGGGGCCTGACCCTCTCAGGGGAGGCTACAGCTCTGAGCAGACAGAGGCCATGTGTGTGTGTACGTAACAGCCGTCATGGTGCATTCGGAATACAGATTTTCAGTTTCAGTCCTGGCGGCGCTAGTCACGAAGAGTCACGGACGACCAGCACTGGCTCTGGATGGGGAAGGGTTTGCATCTATTCCTGAAAAAGCCATTGCACTAGTCTGAGCTGTGACTCGAATTTCCAAAGCAAGTGTGGGCCTTAGGGGTACAGCCCGTGACCCCAGAAGGGAAAAAGGCCCCATGGCCCACTTATGTTTCAGTCCCAAGACTGAGGGTCCACCAAAAGCAAAGCCAGACAAACTAGCCCCAGAAGCAAACACGAAACCTGTCCAGGGTCACCAAAAAGCAATGTGTCCAAAGTCTCACATCCTTTTAACAGTAGAAAAGGTAAAAAACCTATGATTCTTCTGAAACGTGCTGAAACAATTCTAAAGAAACAAGGCAGACTCAAATGAGAAAAACCTTTGTGTTCACTGAGCAGCATTAATACAAGATTCAGCTTTCTGAAGACAAACACGGTATTTTACAGTGAAATATCACAAACCAGTTCTCAAGCGTCCCCGCACTGACGGGGCGACGTATAGTAGATAGAACTCAGGTGTTGCCGCAACAAATGATACTCTAACTCCCAATTTTTATTTTGTTGACTTTGAACTTCTTTTCTGCTATGTGAGTGATACATATTTTACAACTGTTTTAACACAGAGGCAAGTAAATGCCCATAATTTCCACTACTTAGGACTACTACATTTTTTCTGTGTGTGTATGTGTGTGTGTGTGTGTGTGTACACACAGAACTTTTTAGAACAACAGGACACTAAACATATTCCAAATAAACTGTTGTAAAACAATTTTTTCATTTAATACTACACGTATCTTTTTAATTGACAAATATGCATCGACATTCTTGTTTTAATGACTACGCACTGCTCAGTGGCAGGGGCTGATTTCCTCAATACCCTACTGTATTTTCAAGTAATTTCCGAGTAAAAAGAGAAAATGTTTCGTAAGGCCCAGCTGATGGCCCCCCACCCCAGCCCTGCCGGAGAAGGTGCCTTCCAGCCCACCGGACCCTATGGACCCTCTGGGTTCACTGTCGGGGCAAAATCTACCCACTCCCGGCTCCCCTTGGTGCATCGGTCTCTTCAGGTGGGGAGATGTGAGAACATGTCACAAAGCAGTAAAAGGATGCTCTGGGCCTGTGGCTAAGGCCCAGGCCCGGCTCTGCTGGGCGGGCGCGTGTGCCTGTGTGTTCCGAGGGGGCAGGGCGAGGGCACCCTCCTGGATCCAGCCCTGCCTCAGTGTCCATTGGTGCTCTGGACAGTGGGCGTGGTAGGCAGCCGACCCCAGTGATCAGAGGATGCAGGATCCCTGTCACAGGCCTGTTTCCATTTTCACTGAATGTCTGCAACCCCCATGTGGAACTGTTAGGTCCTCAGACTCACTTAGAATTCCAAATGCACTCTCTACCAACCCTACACGGACCCACTATGTGTGGGCCTGCAGCCACTGCAGTCCTGGGGCTGTGCTTACGGGCTGCCCCCCCTTGATTGGACGAATGTTTTGTTGGCACCATCGTTTTGAGATTCGTAAGATATTAGGGCACAGTCCACGCCGGCCCTGTGATTCTGTGGCCTGTCTTGTCTGACATCACACGGTGGTTCGGGGCGTAGCTTGACAAGCTCCCTCAAACTTCCCCAAAGTCGAAATTTGCATCTCTTGGGACCAAAAAGTAGTGAGTTTTTTGTAAAAGTGACTTTGCTTTTAGGCAAAGACCAAGGAATAATCCGACAATGGAAAACTGTCTGAGGGAGAGGAAACGCCACCCCCTCCAAGACCAAGAAGCTGCCAAGGGGCAGCCTGGAAGGGTCTCGAAGGGGACAGTGAAATAACCTCATCTCCGGGAACACAGGCGCGGCCCAGGCTCTGTGTTTCTTTTTAGACTCGTGGAAGCAGTGCCCAGTGTCAGATGGAAAATGGCACACAGGCTTGATCTGATCTCAGTACAAAAGAGCTTGCAGTCAGGAAGGGGAGTTTATCACAAAAGTGACTTAACACCTTATTTTCACAAACCTTCACCTAAACCCAAACGAAGGCCAGCAGGCCTGTAGAGGGAGATGCCAGAGGGAACACTTATTTCACGGGAACATTGCCATATTCTGCTCTGCACAGGGAGCCCCAGTGTTTTGAGGCCAGAGCCAACATATTGATGGCAGAAAACACAACAATCTCAGGAAATTACCGTCACCGGGCAGCTCTTACAGACGTGAACGCTTTTATTGTCTCTTCGGAGTGAGCAGCCCTGAATCCCGCACACGGGGAAACAGATGCAGAGATAAGGGGCAGCCAGCGGGGCCTGTCCTTTCAGGAGGCACAGCCTGCGGTCAGGACCGTCACTCCCCTGCTGCTGCTCGGGACTTGCCCATCTCTCTCCCCACCGTACCTCTGGAGTCTAGAGAACAGGGGAACAGTGAGGACCAAGCACAAGACGGAAGCAGGCCCACAGCACCCTGCTTCCACGGTGGCCAGGCCAGGGGGACAGCAAGACCTTCTGGAAGCCCCTCCCTGACCTCGCCTTCTTTTCCTCCTCCCATACCCACAGGGGCTGGAACCTGGACGCCTCCCCGGGGACAAGCATCCAACAGCCCTGGGCAGTCGTGGCTTCCGAGAGAGGAGCCCGGGCACGTCTCCAGGACGAGTGGCCCCATTTCTACCTGCCGGAGAGCAAGCAGCTTGAAAAATGGCTCGGCAAGAGCCTGCGAGGACCACTCAGGTGGGAAGGGCCGGGGAGAGCAGGGGTCCCCAGACCCTCCTCAGCCGCCTCCCCTCACAGCACTTTCCCTGAGGTGCCAGGGCTTTTCCATAACCCAGAAAGGTGAGTCTGGATTAATGAAGTCAAAATTAAAAGCCAGATGCTTGTCACGAACCACAATTTGATGACTCTCCAAGCCACCCTGATTAATGGCAATTAAAGAATTAAGTACACAGCACAACAAATGTGCTATGATGAACCACATGGGTGAGTTTCTGTCCAGAAATATTTCATAACCTTTCTTGAGTGCCTTATATATGCCAGAAAAAGAGGGAAAGGAAACGATACCGGGGTTAGTTCGCTTTCTTGAAGCAACTACCACGCGCCTAGCATTTCACTGCTATAATCCCCACAGGCCTGGACACCACCCACGTTGTCCTCTTGTCTTATCTGAGCGCCCGGCAGAGTGCCCACTGTAGATCTAGTATTCAATCCCCATTTGATAAGTGTGCATCTTTAATCCTTACAATTAAACTGTATTCTTCTTATCATACATAATCCATATTATTCTTTCCACTTTGTAGATGAGAAAACCGAGGCTAAGAAAGAAGTATTCTGCCCAAGGCCACACATCTAAACAGACAACAGAGCTGAGATCTGAACCCAGGACCACTTGGGAGGCGGTCCCAAATTTTAAATGTATAAATGGATAAGGAATGGGTGTTACCTGTATCTTCACAGAAAGTAAGCATGTTCTTTGTAATACCCTGCAATTAAGGCAAACTTCATCACAAAACTTCTACAATATAGTTAAATTCTGGTTATTTGGTCAAATGGATGCTATTGGTTATTTTCCTCCCTGATGAGTGAGGTTGCACTAGAGTTACGTTTGGGGTTATTTCCTTATAATCTCAATGACGCTTATTTTGAAGGGGGAACACGGGCCAAGCCTATAATCTATTTAAAATGTCTCAGGTCACAGACCTCTTTAATAAAACCCATTATTCCTGCTGAGAGAAAGTCTTTTGATCTTCAGACTGGTAGATTTTAT